GTTCCAATTTGAGGAGATCCTTTATGTAGGTACCATGGTGATTATGGTCATTGGACGAACAACTATAAGGAGCTCTAGGATGAGATTGAGAGGCTAATACGAGCGGGGAATTGAAAAGAGTTTGTGGTACAAGATAGGTAGAAAAAAGAAGATAAAGAGGTAGGAGATAAAAGGAGAAGGTTGGAGGAGCCAGAAGTTAAGTCTCCCAAAAAGGGGGTGGTTCATATTATCTCTGGGGGCTAACTGATGGTGATTCTAACAATGTAAGGCGAGCTAATCTAAGGGCTGACTGGGAAAATGTGGTGGAGGTCCAAATTGCAAGCTATGCCAGAATTGAAGTTTAGAGCTGATGACTAACAGGGAATTTTGGTCGCCCATAATGATGCTTTGGTGGGGACGGCGGGGATCGTGGGATGTGATGTGGAGAGGACTTTTGTTGAGACAGAGCTTGGCAAACATTATGTTCTTCGAATGTTTCAGACCGATGGACTTAGACGTGGAGATAAAGCTTGTTAGAACCTCTATGTTTGGATTTAGTGGAGCTGAGGTGGTACCCTTGGGGGAGGTGCAGTTTCCAGTAGCTTAGGGAGCTCCTTCTCTTAGGAAGGTTGAGATGGTGCGATTCTTAATAGTAAAGGCAGAATCAGATTACAATGTCATTTTGGGTCGACTGATCTTGAACTCTTTCCAGACGACGGTGTCGACGTATTGCATGAAAATGAAATTCTCGGTGGGGGAACTTGTGGGAGAGATCATTGGGGATCTGCGATCAGCTAGGACATGTTATCAAATAATGTTGAAGGCGGGAAGAAAGTGAAAGAGTGAAGGGGAAAGCTCGAGAGGGGAATAAAGGGGGCTCATACTGCGATGATTTCCTAGGACGAGCTCATGGAGATCGAGCTAATCGAAGGGGAGCCAATGAAGATCGTGAAGGTTGGAAAAGCACTCAAGGAGGACATTAAAGCTGACTTGGTTAGGCTGTTAAGGGAGTATGTTGATGTTTTCGCTTTCTCGTCTGAGGAGCTTGTGGGCATTGATCCTACGGTAGCCGAGCACAAGCTAAATGTCGATACCAAGATGAGAACGGTTAAGCAGAAGAGGTGACATTTCAGAGCTGAGCTAGATACTATAATTGAGAAAGAAGTCGAGAAGTTGTTGCAAGCAGAGCATATCAGACCTATTCATTTTCTGAAAGTGATTGTTGAACCAAGTTATGGTGAAACAAGTGGAGGACAAATGGCATATGTGTACCGATTTCAGGAATCTTAACAAAGTATGTCCGAAGGATCACTATCCTTTGTCGCGTATTGATCAACTAGTGGATTCGACGGCAGGGTGCGAGCTATTGAGTATGATGGATGCCTCACAGGGATATCACCAAATACCTCTAGCTATAGAGCAGGGCCGGCCCTGGGGCTGGGCCAGTTAGGCGACCGCCCAAGCCGAAATTATGAGGGACACTATTTATTAAAAAAAAACATTTTAGTATTATTTGATTTAAAATAATTGAGCTTTATTTTCACTTATTTTCATACTGTATATTTTTATCTTGTTTTTCTTTATGTGAAATAATCATGATAAAATTAATTAATATGGATGAATAATAAAATATAAGTTTTTAGATTTTGTTCTTTTATTGTTCTACTCGATCAAGATATCAAAAATGTTAGTTGTGTGTATATAATTCAATCACATTAGCGTGAAGGTGCATATTATTAATGAATCGTTGCGTGTATATTAGGGTGAGTTATGTGAATTTATCCCTTTTTTAATGTAAGTTTAAATTTATTTTTTATTTAGTTCTTATATTTTTCTTAAATGGTTATTTAGTTTTTTTTTTCAATAAAGATTCATTAAACTAAAATTGCCTATTGTGGAGTACAATTAATTTAAATCTACAAAAAAATGTTATATTCCAACGAAAAATTCTACGGTAATATATTCCAATAAAAATTCCAACGAATATTCCAATGGTATAGCTTCCGTTGAAATGATTCCAACGAAAATTCCAAGGGAATTTATTCCATTGGAATGAGAATTTAGATGGAATTTGATCATTCCAACGGCTATTATTCTGACAGTTTTTTACCGTAAGAATTTCCGTTGTAATTTTTATTTTCACTCATATTTCAATTGATGGAAAATGTACTGTTGGAATCATCAAAATCCAACGGAAATTTCAATGAAAAACTCATTCCAACAGAATATTTTTGTTGGAATTTCCGTTGGAATCCATTGAAAAATTTCAACGGAAATAATAGCATTGGAATATCCACTGGAAATGCCGTTGGAATTACATTGGAATTATTTTCCATTGGAATTTTCTATTGGAGTTTCATCACATTCTTGTAATGTATATGGTTAAGGTTAAAGAGAGTTTAAAACTNNNCCCGAAAGGATAGGCATATTATATATCAAAACGCACAACTGTGCAAGAAAGCAGCCCAAGGCTGAATATTACAACCAAGAACTAAAAACTGAGAGGACGGATCGAAACCGCCTAGAGCCTCGCTAGCCACACTAGAAAAGAAAACACACAACACACAACTAAAAGACACCAACACACCAACTACGAACGCTCCCCACAGGAGAATATGAAACGCCCCCCACAGGGGAATCAGAACCGGGGCCAACAGCCCAAACCTTAAAAACAAGACCAAAAATCACAAACACAGACTCAAAACATACCAAAACTAAAACAAAAACTTATAAATCAATAGAGAGAGCCCTTCCCCAGCCAACCAACGAGCCCAAACCAGCGGAGAAACGATCAACCCAAGAAGAGCCCAAGCCCGAGGCACTGCTTCCGAAACTGCCGAACCGCCTATACAGAAGCTGAAACCCGAGCCCGAACCAACCCCGAGAAGACCCGCATCCAACCGGAGGAACAAAGAAACACGCCCCACACCAGCCTCACTCGAAAACGTCTAACACCACTAGCCGATCTCGAGTGATCCGGAGCCCCTGTCGCCGCCTAACACCACTAGCCGAACGGGGGGGTGAGACGGCTCAGTCCCTTAACTCCGACAGCCCCGACGCGACCCGCCGCAGCCACCAGAGCCTCGCCCCACCCACTGATCCTCACTCCGCCCAACACCACCGCATACCCGCCGGCGACCAGAGCTCGAGAATTCATTTCGAAAAACCGAAGCCCGCCGAAAGGAACTACTGCAAAACCCTAGTCTCGGACCCGATACAACAAAATTGGGGAAGCACAACATCAGAGGCGGGTCGAGCAGTTGAAGGCGACCTCTGGCCCGGAT